TCATGGTGCGTAGCTTTTTTAAAAAGTGCTTGAAGGTGCTTATTTTTGTTTTTTAAAAGCCCTTAAAGGTGTTTTTAAAAAGTGCTTTGTATTTTGCAAAAGCGTGCTTTTCACATTGTACTATTCAACGTTTTCACAATTCATTCAACCACAATCCATGAAAACGCCAATCATGTTATATGTTTGATGAAATACTTGAGTCCAATTGTGTGTCTACTGAGCTGTGTTCAGTGAGATTCTTGCTCTCTCCATGTGCAAGATATTCTCAATTTCAAGCTTCATTTTCCACCCTCTGAAATTGAACTGAAAAATCTCTTTATGGTGGCTAGAATATCAAGAAAAGAGTTTTTTTGTCAAAAACTAGTTATTTTATCATGATCATGTAGAGTCTTTGAAAACTATTTTGCATTTTGTTAATGTATATAGTGCTTAAAAATATTTTTCAGTGCTTATTTTTATTTGAGACATTTGGCTACGCACCCTGTATTATATTTAAGAAATAATGCAAATTTTATTTCTATTTTAATTTAAAGAAACGGAAAATTATGTTTTAGTATTAAACAAATGTTCCATTATAAGAACTAAATAAATAATTTAAAATGTTCAATCATTTTTTCTTCCCGTTGTGACAAAATATTTAAATTAATTTAAAGTGCGAGGACTGTTAAATGTCATAATTCATGTTAATGTCATGAAACTGCAGGGATTCATTACAGTCAGATTAAGATAATCTGCTGTGGTATTAAGAGATACATTTAAAAATTAAGTTCACCTTGCGGAATTACATATTGTGTAAAATTATAATCCTTTTATTTCATTCAAACAAAACCTAATCAAAATACAGATGATTGGAATCCGCGCTTATTGCTTGCAGTTTCTTAATCTAATTTTAAAACTTATATATTCCTTATTTAAATTTGAAAAAAATAAAGATAAATGAAAATTATTATCTTTTCTGATTCCAAATGTGATTATCTGCAAATTCGCCTCATTACATTGATGGAGAAAAATAACTTTGTGTGTATAAAAGTAGATGCCAATCATTACAATCATTTTGTTAGTCTTAATCTGTTAATTGACAAGCTTACCTAAAGACTAAAAGTTAAATTTTTATGCCTACACTTTATTAATGTTATTTTGCAAATATCTGCTGGATAATATTTGTAAATTAGATGCCTTTTCTTGATCTAAAATCAATTTCTTTAATGGAAACAAAAAGGATTATCTTCTATTTATTTAATAAGTCTCATGAATTTTTATACAAAATAGAAATGTCAATATACATTTTAATTGTTGTGTATACATAGTTGCCAACTCTGCTGGTTTTTCCAGTAGATTTTACCAGTTTCTCCTGGTAATATTGATTTCCTAAAAATTCTCCTGGTTTAGAAAACACCCTAAATTTGAGTAGGTTTCCTTAAAAAATTTCTATTGAAATAGAATTTTTGTATAGATTATTGATTGCTTGAATATTTAAATAAGTGTTACTAATACATAATAAAACGAGCCTTGTTTATCATCAGTTTAAAACTTCTTTTTGTTTAAAATATTAAGTTTATTTTTATTCAGAACTCCTTTTTTAAATTAATTAATCTTTTGACCATCTTTGATAAATTAAATGCCTATTACTATTCAAAATTATGAGTAAACATAATGCATAACATTTCAAGTTTATTTAAAGTTTATCGTAGCTAGAAAATATTGCAGTTTTTCTATTTTGATGACTCTAAAATTCTCTATGTGTAAAATATTTAGTACATTTTGTGACAACTATCATGAAATTTATATTATTTCGTACAATCTACTGTTTTTTTTCCTATCAATGTTGACAGCTATGTGTGTTTTACTTCCATAAATAGCATTCTTAAACATTGATTGAATTATGCTTTTGTAACAGGACCTATAAGTTTGCAATTTTTTAATACTTTTGAAATACCAAACAATTTTGGACTATGAACTAGCATATTGCTTAAGCATGAATTTTTTTTTTTCTTCTTCTTAACGGCTGGCGCTGAACCTTTTTTCTTCACCTCAGAAAATGCCGGAAGTGTTGCTCCTTTAACGTTACCCAGTGGGCGCCTGTGAACCTAAGTCACGGAGGCGAACAACATTACCCACTCCACAATGCTACCAATACCCGTTTATAGGGTGAGCCACATTCATACATCACACAACAGAGAACAACACACAGAGAGGGAAACATCCATGCCCTGAGCGGGATTCGAACCCACAGCCACTGGCTTCACAGTCAGGCAGGCTGACTGCTCTGTCATCTGGCCAGAAAAACTTGAATACTAGATTATTATATTTCAGTATCTGGAGTGGCATCGCAAATGGATTAAAAAGGAACTGTGAAAGCTGCTCTTGGGTTAGATGTAATCCCTAGTATAGATTTCATTTCTTTATTATTTTTTTAAATTTGATTTTTTGGCTTGTTCTGAAGCACATTAACTGAACGAATCAAAATAAGGAAATGTCCTAAGCCACATATGACAATATTTACGAGCATGGATTCCTATCCAGTTATAATCCCTTAAGTCTCCTAGAAATTTGTCACAATATTAACTCAACCTCCTGTTATATAAAATGTTTTAAAATTTGTACATTTCTACAAAAAATAAACTAAAAATATCATTCTAAAAAAGTCTGTAGCTTTCACTGTAAAACTAATTCATAATTTGAAATCCCCACACTGTAATTAGGCAAGATGAGGTATTTGTATAAATGCAAAAAAAAAAAAAAAAACGTGTTCCCAAGTGGTTGTGTTTCTTAGTCACCAAAGTGCTCTATATAGACCCCCAGGGGTCTATTTAACAAAAAAGGGGGTGTCGATCTGAGCCAGGGGGTTGAATGGAGGTCGAAGAAAAAACAGTTCTTAATGCGCAAATCACACATACCTAACTGAGTATGTAAAATTTGTGAATTCTTTTATAATTGACTTGATATCAGTTTCTTTATAGAACATTAATTAATAAAAGTATATTTTTTTGGGTGAAACAATAATATCATATGTCATAATAAGTCATATGCATATGTGCGCTTGTTCAAATGTCACGTGTGACGAGCATTGACCTTACAAACGAAAATATCATACGCAGTTTCAGCTATCTTTGCTAACTGTGAACAGTGTTGAATATTTGTAGTGTCATTATTAAAACTTTCATAGTTTCGGATAATTAGTTATTGTTTCGCTAAAACCATTAGTTTAGTTTAGATATCAATTTTAGTTATAAATACATGTAAAAAAGAAGGTAACCATTAATATGGATTAAAACAGCCTGCGACAAAACTATAGCACACTTTGTATTTTTTTATGAAAATTACAAAATTTTTGAAAAGTATTATTTTAATCTTTAACTGTTCTAAAGAATAACAATTTTGTATGAAATAAGTTTAATTTAATTTCCAAGTTGTAGTAAACAGCAATACAACAACATTATTGCTATTTACTAACTGAAATTGAATTAAACTACACACATCAAATTAAAATAATATCTTCAAAAATATTGCGATTTTCGTAAAAAATTCAAAGTGTGCTACAGTTTTGCCGTTGTTTAGTCTGTATATTATACAAATTTATTTTTAATTTATTTATAGAACCCTAATTGAGCGCACATTTCCAAGCTCCTATGTGGTTGAAGCCGGTTTCAGTCACGTAAATTCAATCTTAACTAAGTACAGAAATAAATTAAATGTGGAGTTTCGAGGGGTTAAGATTAAAATTGACCAATTTTGATCCCAATGTAGCGAACCATGCAAAAAAACACCAGGTACACCCATCTCATTGATTAAGCAATAAATCTGTAGTTACTTTACTTATTTATAATTGCTTATTATTTAATAAATATTAAGGTATTTAATGAATATTAAATTTCAACATTAATATATTTTTCTTAAAGCTATTGTTACACAATGTACTATTACTTTAATAAATGTTTAAAATCATAAAATAAATGTACAAACACAGTATCTAATAGAGTTTTATTTTAATTAACAGAAAATTACTTTTATAGGGGTTGATGGAGATTTCGAAAAATTATATAGGGGTCGAAAATCAAAAAAGTTTTGCGACCCATGAATTAAACTGTGTTTTCTTTGCAATAGGTAGTAGTAAAACAAGCTAAAAAGAATGCATTAAATTCAATCGTAAAACTTTAACAGTAATTATTATGCATTGCTTTAAAAAGTTTGTTAATAATTTAATACTTTTATAATGACTGATTAATATTACAGTGCAAGTTTTTAAAATAAAATTTATTTATTACAATAATATTATTCGAGTAAATTTCTTGCACAAAAATATAGTGGAATGAGAAGGAAGCAAAAAGAGATGCAATTATAGATAATGTTCAAATATTGTTTAATAATGTCGAACGAAAAAAAATTATGATTCGAAAAATAAAAATTTAGATTGTATTGATATTTTATAGGTCTTTTTAAAGTAGTTATGATTAAATTTAACGTATCAATAGCAAGGAATAGTTTTTATTGTATAAGAAATTAAACAAACTAATTCTAATAACTTTTATTCTGTAAAAAGAATAAAAAAAGGGAAACAATCAAATTACTAATTATTGATATTGTATTCTCTGTGCAGTTATTATTATAGAAAGGTTGATTGATATTGTTAAAGAATTTATAATTTAAAAAAGAGTTACATTACATTGAAAAATTATTAATATTGTAATAATATTTTGTGGCTCTTTGATGTTAATGTTGATTTGTTTAACTTAACCTTATAAAGATCCATATTTTTTATGGTTAAATAAATTTGCATGATTTAATTTAATTATTAGGGGAATAATTTTTGTGAAATAAGAGAAACGAAATTTATTCGCACAAATTATTGGTTGATATTGCACAAAAAAAATTTTAAAAAAAATTTAAGTAAGCATTTATATTATATCGTAAAATTATGTCAATTTGTTTTTGGTTGTTTTTATTTAATGCTGCTTTAATTCTACCTGTAATTTCACAATTTTAATTTCTTTTTTTTACAGATGACGCACAGTACTACGATATTGCCTCTGATAGAAGCCCTCTTTTAATAACTACAAAATCTGTTATTGGTAATCGTAGTTGTACAATTCATCGCTGCAGTATTTGTGGTTATTCTTCTTTTAAAACTTCTAATGTCATAGGACATATTAGGAAGCATACAGGTGAAAGACCATTTACTTGTCCTAAGTGTGGGAAGGCATTTGCTCAGAAAAGCAATTTGAAAACTCATATCATGCAAATGCATTCTGATACAATTTGAGACTCTTATTTTCTTGAAAACATGTGATTATGACTTGTGATAAAATTTTGTTTTTTCTTAACTTTGTCAAAAAAGCTTTCTGCTTTTGCAAAATTTGGATTGTAATACTTCTGATTCAAGAGTTCTAAGGAAACTTAACTAATATGCATTCTGACCTCTAATATACATTCTGATACAATTTGAGATTCTGTTTTGTTGAAAACGTAAGATTACAGAGTTGCTACTCTACAGGGAAAAATCTGGAAAATATAGGGAATTTAAAAATCTCCTAAAATAACAGGGAAAGTGCAAGAAATTTTGATTCTTTACGAACTGGGAAAATAAGGGGAATTTTGTTTCTTATTTTCGTCTTTTAAAAAATAGTGACCTCTCAAATCGTAGTCTATGGGATATTTAAACATGATATTTCAGCTATACTAAACTATTTCATTTACAGTAGCATTATTTAAGTATGTTCAGCTGTTCCTTTTTATTCCCCTCTAAGTTTTTACACCAATTAAAACTAGAAAATATAGTTAACCCAATATAGCTCACACAAGAGCACAGTAATTGCTGTGTTTCCTTTTAATATACAGAGATGATTGTGCTCCGGAAATCCAAGGTTCAGAAGTTTCAAGAAATCATGGATCACATTTATATTTAAAAATTTTTGTATATTTTATTTAATAATATTAGAACTAGAATTTATACTTGGCATCTCTTTCATTTGTAAATATTTTTTCTGGTAGAATAATGTATGTGATTAGAGATAAAAGCAAACTATTTTAAGTAAACTAAAAAATAGTGAGAAAAAGGAGAAAAAAACTTGTTTAAGTTTTTCGATTCAAACTGTTGCTTTTTTTTATTATTTTTTTTAAGGAAAATTGTAGTTGTGTGTTTATTAATAATAAATGTGATTAGTGATAAAAGTAAACTTATGCATAATTGTTAATTTAAATTATGCTGTGTATAATTCATTTAGAATTTCATGTTGTGAAAATATCAATGATTTAAATTTATTTTGACATTAATTTTTTGAAATACAGGGCTGATTGTGCTCCGGAAAAAATCCGGATTTCCGGACTTTTCGCTAACAGTGATCCGGAAGTTTCCGGAGATCGAAGGTCCAGACGTTTCAAAAAATCATTGATCACAGAAGTTTCCAGAAATCAAATTTTCAAAGGTTGATCTTAAAAACACAGTTTATTTTATTTCTTTGTAAGGGAGAGCCAGAGATATACTTTATAAGCTTATATTCATGATTAATATTCATTTTTTATCAGTAAATAGTTGTTATAATCATAAACTCAAGAAAGAAAGACCTATTTGTAAATCTTAATTACTTCTCCAGGTCATCATCGATATGTATAAATGGTATGGGTGTGTGTAAAATTTTAAAAATATTTTAAGTAAACTAAGAAATATCAAGAAAAAGAAAAAAAACCTTGTTTAAATTCTTTTCTAATTTTTCAATTTAAAATTATTTTTTAACTCAAGAAATTTTCCGGAATTTTGACTTGGGCTCACAATCACCCCTGGAAATACGTCATTGATGATTTTATTAAAGAAATTTTCAGGATTTTTGAATTGGGCTCACAATCACTCCTGAATATATTGTGTATAATATGTGCAGAGAAAAAACACGGGGAATTCTTTTTCCTTAGATTTGAGTGGCAACCCTGGATTATAACTTTGTTTTTTCTTTACTTTGTGAAAAAGGTTTGTTTTTACAAAATATGGATTGCAATACTTTTTAAATATCTATTTAATGTGGCTTAACAAGAACAAAAAGCATTTAAAACGTGATAAGTCTTATAATTCATTCATGTGTTACTGTATTTTGTGTGTCTAAATAAATTGAATCCTAAAAAAAGCTCTGATTTATTTCCAACAAGTAATTTCTGTATAGTTGCTTTTGAATTAATATTAAAAATGTCATTTTCTTAATATTCAATTGAATAGACACATTCAAAAGAGATTAAGTTATGCGATATATATTATTTAATGTCATTGCATTAGTTTACTTACAGGATGTTTCACTGCAAAAGGTGTAAACGACATAAAAATAGGTGGCAATAACATAACCTTGTAGGATTCAAACTGCTTGCGACAAGTAGAAGAATATGCAGGCGATTCTGTCTAGGTGCTAGGTCACCAAACTTATCACTGCTAGGATGAAATTAATTCCACTGGAAACCTTTATGATCTTCGGTTGAACACCTGTTGCTAGCTGCCGAACACGTCAGAAACGTTTTAGAACATAACTTCCCTGCATCCTCACTGTGAAACCTGTGTTTCTGGTTAGAATTTTGAACACCTGTATCAAGTAGTGGTTACTTACTTGCTCCTTGGTATTACAGTCCATGTTAGACCATGACTTGTCTAAAAGTTCTACTTTAAAGTCATCTGTCTTGTGTTTTTATATAAATTCTTATTTTTTAGGCCTCTCTCAACCTCGTCATTCCTCGTCTTCTTCAATCTTTTCGGCTTTCATTAAAGATCTTTTTTAGCCAATGTCAATATCTCATTAAGATTATTTTTGTTACACTAACATGTTGCAGTTTCTGTTATTTCATTGTTTTAACCATAATTCATGTAGAAATAATTTTGATCCACATTTAAAACACAGTATATAAATTGTTTACTCTTAGTTTGATTCATATTAATACGAAGTTTAATTCATATTAATAGAAAGTTTAATTCATATTAATACAAAGTTTAATTCATATTTATACAGTGGAAGGCCGCTTTTTACGTTTTCCATTAAACTAGCATTTAAAAACGCACAATGCGGGAAAGCATCAAATCGGGATAAAAGAAATTAAGCATATTTTTCAAAAATCAACACTTTATAAGAAGAACTATTACAAAAAAATGTGAATTATTTACTTGTTTTTTTATACTATTTCAACAATATCCCACTCAATACTAACAATTGTTTGCAAAAATGCTTTTGATTTAGATTTGCAAATACTGTTTCAGAGTTGCTTTGAAAGTCTTGATCAGTTGTGAGTATGCCCTCTGATATTTTTTACTCCATCACTATCATAAGAAGCAAACATTAAATCAGATATTGAAGGGATTATGTGTCGCAGTTAATATGCCCGTCATCGTCTTTTGGAGGATCTTCTGCTACACAATTTTATTCTGTATGAGTAATTTTCTCATTGGAAAAGCCTGCTTTTTTAAACCCATTTCTAATATAGATTAGTCGAAATTGACCAATTCTGTAAAAATAAAATCTAAAGCTACCAAAACATTAAATTTTGCTTTAAAAGCATCTTGCAGGTCAACAGAATTAAGAAAAAGAAATGATATCCTAACCAATTGTTCATTTTAATGTTCTTTCAATTATCAGTTAATCCAAGATTCAAAGTAATGATGAATGATTCAAGGGATTCATGATAAATAGAAAAATTCCACTCACAAATTTTGCAATTTAAGCTTTTATTCTTCTTTTACTGAAAGTCCTGTGCTTTACCCATATCACCTCTCTCCTGATTTTAATCTGGGGGTAAAATTCTATCTCACAGACAGAAGCAAAAAAAGATGGAATGAAAAGGATCTCGAAAGAACTTTAAACAGTTGAGAAAAATAAAGAAAGACAAAGCTTAGAAAAAGATGGTGTGGGTTTTGTAGAGAAAAAATAATTTTGATCTGTTAGCAGGGATGAGATTTTTCCGCTTTTTAGCGGATTTCCGCCTTTTTCACTTTTATCTCTTGAATTTCAGCTTTTTATCAAAAATTCAGATTTTCTAAAAATTTCACATTTTTTGATAAATATTCCGCTTTTTCAGAAAATTCAAACTACATAGTTACCAATTCTTCCTCATTTTTACTTATTTTAGCTATTTTCTCCCCTTTTACATGCAGCAAATGAGATTTTCCGCATTTTTACCCGCCCGCCAGATAGCTCCGATTTTCGTAGTTCAAACGACGCTGCTTCTGACAAGCCTTTTAGAGGTCCCAAGCCTGGAATCTGCTAATATCCCGATTCTTATTCACACGATTTTAATATTTATTTATTATTTTCCTAACGGCAGGCACTGAACTTTAACGTTTTTCACCGAGGAAGATGCCAGAAATGTTACTCATTTAACGTTATCCAGTGGGCACCTGTGAACCTAAGTCACGGAGGCGAGCGACATTACCCACGCCACACTGCCACATACCTGTTTTACAGGGCGGGCCACATTCACACAATAGAGAACNTTTTGTAAGAACCAACTATATATTAATATTTCATTTTACTCTTTTGTTGGTCAATATATGATTTTTAATATAAAAATTACGCATCATGATTCGTATTTACGCGATCTAAAAATTATGAATCTTGATTTGTATTTACACTTTTTGAAAATTCTATATCCCAGTTTGTATTTTCTCATTTTCAAAATCGTATATCTAGTTTCATATTCATGTGATTTCAAAATCCATAATTGTTATTCATCTTCACGCAATTTTAAGATCAACTATCACGATTCTTGTAAGAAGTAAAAAAATTTTTTAAAATTAGTTACTATAAAGGTGACTGTTTTTCTAACGACGATTATTAGTATCAACATTTGAGAAACTGGAAGGGAATATATTCAAAACTAACATTCTGTGCTTTCAAGGAAGAAAAAGTAAGATTTGTCACAAAATGTTTGAAGATGGACTAACGACAAAATATAGCAAACATAAAAGATATAGCAAACAAAAGCAATCACTTAAAAAGTGGTTAATTTTTTTTTGTTGGAAAAGGAGTTAATTAACTCATCATCAAAATTTTAAATTATAATTGCTGTTATTTATGCTATAAAATGCAAAATTCTTATCAAATGGAAAATAATTATCTAAACAGTTGCTGATTGCCATTTAATTTTTCGAACTAAAATAGCAATTTTGTATGTTAAGGAGTTACTATATATTTCTACTTCACTGTTATTGATATGTTTCACAGGGCTCTAGTTAGAGTAGACTATAATATGAACATAATGATTCTGCCCATTGTAGTTTTTTTTCCCCAAAATAATTTAAAAAGTAATATTACTGATACATTTGCTATAAATCACATAACAGTATTTATTAAAAAAAATAAAATATTTATGTATATACTCAGTAGTTTTAATTTGCTAAACCAGGTAGTTTTTCAAGTAATAAGTCTCTTATGTGAACTGAGGAAAAATATAATTTCTAGCTTTATTTTTTCAATTGGTAATTTTTATTTTCACTAAATGTTAAGTATCAATGTAATCATTTATATAATAATAGATTAGTACACAATTGTATGTCAACACATTATTTATTATCTTAAACTGTCTGGAATTTATTATTGAAGGGTTGCGCTTCCGTAAAATTTACTAGTGTAGAAATTCAGCTTTTTTGCCTTATGGCTAATCTCATCCCTGTGTTAGAAAAATGTGAAAAAGGGGACTCTCTTAAAAAGTGTAACTTAAAATGGGGATTATTTTAACGTTATCAATATAAGCAATTTTCATTAACCAGCCGACGTAGAAAGCGGGACGACATACATAACGGACTATGTAAAACCGGGGTTCCACTGTATCATGAATAGTTAATAAAAAATTTTGTTTTGCAATATACATCAATCGATAACTGTAAAATACTCAAGAAAAATTTCTTCTTTGTAGGTGTTCCTAATACTCAGTTGTATACATCATCTGTGCAGTTTCTAGCTGGGCATAACTATCACCTGTATCACTGTACTTTATGCAGCTATTCTTCCTCCAAATTGAGTCATGTGAAACAGCATATACGCAAGCACACAGGCGAAAAGCCCTATAAATGCCCCTTCTGTAAAAGGTCTTTCACTCAAAAATCTAATATGAGAACTCATACTTTGATATTTCATGCAAACAAATATATTTAAATGGTAATCTATTGACTGGAGTTCCTGTAACTAATTTAGTTTTAGAGTTACGGCTTACGGCTAACATTCTAAGATTTATTAACCGTCAAAGTTTGCTAAAACGAAGTACAAGTGTTCTAGAACAAGGAGCCAGCTACAAGGTATCTTTATTTTTTTTTCTTGCTCGTAAAATTACTCTTAACTATTCAGAGTATCTATTATATACAAAATGATTTTTAATTAACCATATATTTTGGGAAATAACTGAATTTTAAAATTTATATGGTAGCCAATTTATGTTAACTAAGCTGTTAATTCTTTTAAAAAAATTAGTTTTCTTGCTGAGAAGTTATTTCAAGTGGAAAATTTTACAAATGAACTAAGAATTAAGCTCTTTTTTTTTTAATTTGAGAAGCTGAATCAATCATAGACATATCTTTAAAATTTTGCAGGGTCAGCTTTATATTCTATCAATCCCAAATATATAAATTTTATTTACCTGATTTATTTCAGACTTTGCAAAACTTCATACTTTGTGAAAAATCAATTCTTATTTTTTTAGAATTTGAAATTGCATTGGAATTGTATTCCTTCTACTAATGTTTGAAAATAAAGTTTTTTTAAAAAATAAAATATGAATTAATGCAGTTATTGACTTTGTTTTTTAAAAAAATAAGAAGGAATAAAGAGCCTATTTTAAAAATAAGAAATATTTTGCTGAATCCCTACTCACAATAAAATTTTTTGTTAAAGGTCTATTTTTTCGATAAAATATTTGGTGTTGTGCCCATATTGATAAAACTTTTTGTGAAGAATTGATTAATGGTCTCAAATTTTTCCTACAATAATTTTTTTTTCCTTTTTTGTATTGAGGATTATAAATGATAAACCACATATTATTAAGATTGTAGGAGTTCCTAGGGTTGTGCAAATGTTTAGCTCTATCCAGTTGTCCAAAATTTTTAGCTATTTTTGTGTAGTTTAGTATGTCCTTTTAACGGTTGGTAAAAAAACGGTTTTAAGGTTGGTAAAAAACGAAACATAGCTTGATACAATTAAGGTGGAATAAGAAAGGAAAGTTTGGGAAAAACTTCGCCAAGTTTTGTAACCAACTCTGTTATCTTCTTCTGCAGCCCAAACTGAGCAGTTTTCAAGCTGCTCATCTTAACCCTCTAATTATTATAGATATAGGATCTCTAGGTTATACAGAAGTGAAAGAACACTTTTTTTACACTTTTAAAATTTCATTTTCTAGAAGTTTTGTGTATCTACTTTTCTATTTATGTTACCATAGTACACTTATCTAATATGTAGTTGTTCGGTGCCAGAAAAGTATGTTAAGTTGGGTTGTTTGCTGGAAAATATTGTAATCTGTTTTTAAAATCAAAACTTTTAAATTAAAAGAAAACTTTTAATATTTAAAAGTGATGTCATACAGAAAATTTTATGTTCTTTTCAAAAAAAATTAAACTCAAAACACTGTTTTTAACAATAAATGAATATTCAGAATTTATGTTTTTTTTTAATTGTTGCTTCTTGGTGACCTTTTTTCTTCAACCCTCTTTGTTTATGGATTTTGGCTACAAAAAATAACCATTAATTATGGACCTTTTTTATACCCTATGATTAAAAAGTTTTTTTTTTTTATCATTATATTGAAAATATTATCAGATGGTTTTCTAAGCTAAATTCAAAATTTTCTATTTCTAATTTACAACTAGTTAAAAAACAATATTTGCATTTCAAAAATGCAATATTGTGAATCAGGATTAGTAGGAATAATTAATAAGTATATAAAACTGTAGGACTTTTAAATCATTGCATATCAGTATGTGAAATTCCAATTATTAGATTATATGATTTAAAGGTACTCTATTTTATTATTACATATTCATATTTTTTGCTAGTTATGCATAAATAATTTAAACCTTTTATGTACGCATAAAATGCAACATTGCTTTTAATTATTATTAAGTTAGAACATTGCTCATTAAAAAATTATAAATTTAAAAATTACTGTATGTGTTTCTTTATAGAATATTGTTTTATATTTCTGTTATAAATTTAAACCATTTAAATTCTTTTTTAATTTAATTGTGAGATTTGTTAGATATCATGTTTCAATTTTTAATTGTATAGAATCATAAATAAACTAGGTTGAAACAAATATTTTTTTAATTAATAAACTAGTTATTTACTTGCGTCAAGTATGAGATTTTATTTATAAAAAATATTGTTTATTTGCACCTCGCCTTAAGAAATCCCTTATTTCTTTTTAAATTTACTTAAAATTTAGTACATATATTTGAATAATATTTATTTGAAACATTATAAAAAATAAGTGACAAAAAATCAGAAAGCAGGTGACAAATAAGTTATCAAAAAATAGGTGACAAAAAATCAAAAAACAGGTGACAAGTAGGTTATCAAAAAGGTTAGGTACAAGTAGGTTATCAATGAAAACGTGTTTTGACTCATGTGCACCCCACTAATCTTTCTGCTTTTCTCTTTTTTGTCGAATTTAATTTAGATAATTTTATTTTCATGCAGTGTAGCCACTTGTTTTGGTGTAGTATAGACACCTGTAGCTTTTGTGGCATTAAACTCTTCATCAACTCTTCGTATTCAACCCAGGGTTTGGTTTTTAACATGAAAAACTTGTTTTCGACATGACATGTAAAAAATCTGCTGTTAAGTGTAACAGGGCTGATTGTGCTCCGGAAAAAATCCGGATTTCCGGATTTTTCGCTAACCGTGATCCGGAAGTTTCCGGAGATCGAAGGTCCAGACGTTTCAAGAAATCATTGATCACAAAAGTTTCCGGAAATCAAATTTTCAAAGGTGAAACTTAAAAACACAGTTTATTTTATTTGTTTGTAAGGGAGAGTCAGATACTTTATATTCATGATTAATATTAATTTTTTATCAGTAAATAGTTAATATAATCATGAACTCAAGAAAAAAAGACATATTTTTTGTAAATTTCAATTACTTCTCCAGGTTATCATAGGTATGTGTAAAATTTTAAATATATTTTAAGTAAACTAAGAAAGATTGAGAAAAAGGGGAAAAAAAACCTTGTTTAAATTATTTTCAATTTAAACTGTTTTTTTTTTTTTTTTTACTCAAGAAATTTTCCGGAATTTTGACTTGGGTTCACAATCACCCCTGGTGTAATAAACTTTTATAACTGTCTTTAAACAGCCCACCCAATTTTTGGGCTTACAACTAATGTTCCACTCCTTAGTCTTATAATTTTAAACCCAATCCAGAAAACAAGGGAATTCCTAAATCAAGTATTGGGAGAAATTTGCCTTCTCGGAGGACTTTTTGAAGGAACTAACCCTCATCTGCTGTAAATGGAGAGAGACTACGAGAACCTTCCATGGTTAGCCTGACAGCAAGGGGACTTTAACCCATGATGTGTCTACCACTGAGTATATTTCACGTCAGCACTGAGGTCAGTGCGAGCCAGATGCGGAATTCGTATCGAGCAGCCATCACTAGGATTCAAACTTGGTTCACCTCATTCGAAAGCGAACTGTCAAAAACTTAGAGCAAGTTTTTTTCCCTGTCATTGGCAACATTTACTAAAAATTTAATCATGCTCTCATTAATCACTAATTAAATCATTAATTGTGTTGTATGTATATATATATATATATTTGTATGCATATATATATGTGTATGTATATATCAAATACCATCATAAATGTTATAATTTTGTTATGTTAAAATGAATATCAGTGTTAATAGTTGTTGTATATTATTTAATTACTTCTATATTATTACAATTATTTTAAAAACAGTTCATGGCATTAGCCTTTATTATTAGTGTACCTTTCCTGTAATCGAATTTTTGAACCCGGAATCTTTTGTTTTATTTTTGTTCTCACATTTTTTCTCAAAATTTTCATTTTCACACAATTTCTGCTTTAAATTATGCTTAGCTAAAATTGTGATCTATATGACAAACACAGCCATGACTACTCAAATTAAAAAAATTAAAAAAAGCGTGTGAAATATTTTGTTAAGGAATTTTGTGTTCTTGAAATAAAAATGCCATTTTCATTGAATGTCAAGTTGAGACAAACTTGTACATCCAATACCCAAAGAAATATATCTTTTTTTAAGTAAAAATTAAGAGACTTGCATAGCAGAGTAACTTTTACTCCTGAAAATATTATATTAGCTTTATTTTCAACATGAAATATTGCAGGTAGTTAGTTTTTCAAGTTTCAAACATCAAACTTTATCTAGTACAAAAAATCCATAATTATGATAAAGAGTAAAAATACCTATTGAAGTTTTATAGCACAGATGAAATTAAATTGATATTTGTGGAAACGTCAAAATATAAACAAGAAGAGAATTTCCCTCATTGTCTATACAGCTTAGAATTTTTATACTGTTTTTGCACTCTTCTGCATTAATTTTTGTTGCGACTAATATATTTCTTACAATCAAACCTCAATCTGTCATTCCCGCATTTTTTGTTTTCCTGTATTTATCAGTACCGCCATTACGCATGGGCACATCCAGGCAGTGCCTGGGGGCCCAAGGGACTTAGCAGGCCCTTGAGAATCTAACTCTTTATAAATTGTATTGAGAAAAAAAAGTAACAAATAAACTACATTGCCTTATATATTTTTTAAAATAAATATATTCCTTTGTATGAAGTCTGCATTTTTTTCTCTACAGATCGTGATTATCATGCAAACAGCAATAATTTGAATAGTTTGTCATCCAAAAAACTTAAAAAGGCAGCCGAAATCTATTTTTCTACTTTCCAAGGATTATTTTAGGTGCTCGTTAAAATTTTAGGTACTTGGGTATTGAAAGATGTTTTAATAACTGTTTAGTTTGACAAAATAATTCATACCTTTTGAATCTTTTTTTTGTATACCTTTATGCTTTTTAATTTAATTATATATGAGAAGTTATTTA